AGTAAACCAGAAATTTAAGTCATTCTCCATGTGTGTCAAGTTGAGGCGCCTGAAAACAGCATATCCATTTCTTCTAGCTCACTTTTCTTGACCTTTCAGTTCTTTCTTGGCATCTTCTGAATCGTTAAAAATAAAATCATTATGAGGACACTGGCAAGTGGTTAGCAAAGCTTATTATGGCAGCTTTCTACATTCGGTTATTAAAGCGATAAAAGTCAGGGTCGAAATGAGAAAAGATAATTGTATACTTTAGGAAAGGTAGTTGTCCAGGGACTGTCCTGGGAAGCCGGGCGAGCTGAGCTGTTTCCCTCCAAAGCAAAGAACCATGTGGGCAGGCCTCCCTGGCACATGGCTGTTACACTCCCGAACACGGTAACCCTGCAGCCAGGGAGCCCTCCTGCTAAAAGTGCATTACCCAAAACTTGAAAACAGGGTCTGCAGTTCCTTATGGGTGAGATTCTGCTGCCCTGCCCCTGGCTAGGAGCATGGCTTCATTCCTTGAAGGGTACGATGCTGGTCAGCATGGAGAGAGTTGCAGAATCTGGGCGCTTGAAGTAGTTAAAATAATTGTGGTCTTCTGAAAATTGCTGGTAATATTCAGATTATTGTTTGAGTTGGTTTTTAATTAGTGCTGTGTATTGAATGGACATTAATGCGGGAGATTTCACCTGCAGTCTCTCTGTCTCATTTGATAGCTTTCAGGATGATTGTATTTAAAGCCAGTATATATATCCTTTCACAAGCCTGTTGTCAACTTTTAAATGCATTGAACATGATTAGGAGATGAAATCTATCTCTGTGGCTTTTGTGACATTATCTTCTTCAAATGAATTGAACACCACCTTTGCTTCATTTCTTCCAGCCCTGCTGTATTTCTGTTCCATGCAACCTCGCCGTTAGCATTCTGAATGTCTTGATTCTGCTATTATCCATCACTTCCCATTTCAGTTTTCTCAAGGTGAAATCTTTCTGCTAATTCAAAAAGCTTTCTGTCTTCATTATGTATAAATGACTTTGCCCAAAGACTAAAAAAACCTAAATGTAAGATAAAGTTAAGGCCTAGCCACATTTCATGCCAGAATAGTAAATACAGGAGGTAAAAGGGGTAAGGAAGGAAACATTAACTATTTAACTTTTTCTTTCTGGTTTTGGTTTTGGGGGGTTTTTTGGGGGGAGGAGTAGGGAGGAAGGATTGAAGGTTATTTTCCAGGAAGGTACAAGTCTAATGAGCTGAGGACTTTTTCCTTACATAATTGTTTTCCTGGATCTGGGCATTTTTTTAGGAACCACCATCATTATGCTTTAAATAACCATGTCTCCAAATGAACATAGGAATGTGGAAAAATATCCTATTCTTAACCGGCTTGGAAAGATACCAGCGAGTAATTCTTGCACAGCTAACATTTTTCATATTCATTAAATATGTTTGCTCAGTAAGCCAGACGTTTTATTATGTGTACTACACCAGTGTATTAGAATTACTCTGATGTCTTTCTTCCCATCTCATGAATTACTTCATGAATTACCAGCTTGATCAGTGAGACAGTGATAATGATGAATGCATCTGTTTATTTGTAGAACAAGCATCGACTATTTTTTAATTAGGGAGTGGCACTGTTAATTGCTGCGTCTCCTCTATGTGTTCAATAGAACCTTCCTTGCTGGTTGTTACAACTAGCCATAGAGAAAGCTGGCCCAGTGCAGAGCTCGGGTCTGTCGGATGCTGATGCTGCCTTGCTGGCAAGTAATGTGGCTGTGAAAACAGTAGACCCGACTTTAATTTTAATGGCATCCCATTCAGTCCAGGTCAGGAAGGTTTTACATTTTGCTTAGTATCTAAATTTAAGCTCCCAGTTTCTGATAGCTGCAGAAATACAAATTAAAATCAAATCCCTGCATTTAATGACCTCAGTGAGTATAATATAGTCACACTCACATAACCTTGCTTTCCATTAGCGAAAAATAATCATATAACCAGTATGAGTGAATTGATTACTGAATCTACAATATAGATGACAGTAAGGCAGGAGTCTCTTGAGTGGTTCTGTTCCTCATTTTACTAGTTACCAGTTTACTGGATGGGAATTTTCCTGAATGAATACCTCATAGGTGACGATCATGGAAGGTGATGGTAACCTGTAACCTTAGATTCAGAGCAGATCTGGGAGCGAGAAATGCATTTAAATAAGAAAAACAAATGGGGGGGGGGGGAAGGGCATATGGAAGTACTGGAAATGGATTTACTATTTTAGCATTGTACCAAGTGTTGTCCCTTACACTTAAATAGAATTTCATTTATAGTATCAGCTGAATGGCTGTGATTTCACTAGTTTGGCAGCAGATTGCACCTGTGGAGCCTTTCCAACCTCTGCTCTGCTCTTTCTTTAAAATTCAGTGCAGGTATATGCTGCTTTAGTTTCTTTTTCTAGCCATCAGAAATGCATTCAGAAGTGGAAAAAATGGAGGATTCCCAGTATTTCTTGATAACAGAAGCTTTGCACAGAAATGTTCATTTTTCATGGTATTCATAAAATGCATGGAACAGATTTTATCTGCAAGTGCTCATGAGTCTCAAGGACAGAAATTCATATACTCTCTGTATATCGATACATTTTACAATTTAAACATGAATATTTGACTACTCTGATCAAACATAGAACTCTAGGTAATTATTAGTTTATTTAAGCCAAAGAAAGACATTGAATTAATGCCTTCGCTTTTTTTTGTTGTTGTTGATATTAGTGTAGATACTTATCTTTTGTAAGAACAGGGGGACAGTGGTGCTTACCATAGAAGCGGCAGCACCGAGAGAGGGAAGTCATGCACTGGAGCCTTCCCAGGCTGCAAGGTAACTTCAGCCAGTTTGCGGCCCCCCAAAGCAGTAGTCTGCTCTTCCTCTCAGTTTTAGCAGCTTGTATCAGTCCTCTGGTACTGATACTGATCCTGCCTTCGGCCCAGGTATTTGTGTGGCTGGGCACAGGCTGTTGGAAAATGACCTGGATTAAAACTAGTTCTGGAAAAAAATAGTAAAGCGAGTTAGGTGGGAAAGAGCGGCTGGGACAAATGGAAAGACTGCTTCAGCCTCCCTTTGTACTGATGTATGTGAGCTTCACACGTTCATAGACGAATATGTGTTTTTGATGGCAATATATTCTTGCCATGCAACTTAACAAAGTAGCGCCGTGGTGGAAATGAAGACAGTGTGTTAAAAGACATCACTGATGTCCTGTGTGTGATCTTAAGCAAGTCATTTAGCTACCTCATGCATCAGCTTCAGACTGGATATTACTGGAAACCAGCTCTTACATTTGCATTCTTTTTCCCCAGAAAATAATAATTTTTTACTTCCATTTCTCCTCTCCTGAAACCCTGAAGTTCTGTAGGACTCCAGATAGGTTTTGTGCAGTCTGCTAATGTTAGCTCATTTTTACTTTAAGAGCGCTGTAGCCGCACCTGATATTTTTGAGTACAGTTGAGACTTTGGATTGCCAAATTCCCATTGACAGACTTTGAGACCTACCTTTGGACATGGCTTGCAACAGTCAATAAAAAAGCAATGAGAGAAATACCTGGTAGAGGACAGTGGGGTCACTGGTTATATATACCAAGAGTTGCTCCAAAAATAGAGTAGTATTTGGAGGTGAATAACCTTAGACTATTTCAGGGCTATTGAAAGAGGTTTCTTTTTTTCTTCTTCTTTTTTTATCTCCCATAGATGGAAGAATATTGCTGAATAAGGAATGTCTGATCCCATTTACTTCCTAGCTGCCAGATCATGAGTACTTGGAATCGGTTTAAGTGTCCTTCAGTGCATATAGTTTATTGCACAGGCCCATTAATTCATTTTTCCATTGTGTAATTTTGTACGATGGTGGTAATACGGCAACAAAGCTGGATCTTCAGAGATTCATTGTTCTGTAACAGTTCTGAAAATTAAGTGCCCAATATATATGACTATTAACTTAAAAGCTATTCCTTCCTACGTGTGTGCAATGAGATACAGTCTCTGAATAATGAGTATCATTTCAGTATTTGATTCATGTCTGATAGTAATTTTACAGAATTGTGACTTCTCTTTTCTAAAGTACCCCTTGTATGTTTTCTGACTCATTTCTGCTTAACGTATGCAGTAGGGCATTTTGAAATGAAGGTGAGTGAAACTGATATAACCCATAAAAATAGATGAATGGTGTTAAGCCATTTGATTCAGACATATAATCACGAGCTGCGGTATTCCTTCAGCCTTCACGTCGTTCTTTCACGTAAACATGCTACCACGTGGCTGGATTCAGTAAACACTTCCCCGGTGCATTTCACTAACTGTGAAGACAGTTGCTACTGCATTCAAGCAGACCTGTTTTTCCCGGGCTCTGTACAGTTTCAGAAGCCTGTTGGAGTTTTTACTTACCACAACCTCTGGACTACTGGAGGGAGATATTCCTCTCATCTCTAGCTACTGGAAACTATACTGCCTTCCGCTGCAGGTGTCCGGGAACCTGCAGATCACTTCCAGCTCGGTCATTCTCAGTCTATGCTCCCTTAAGCAATTGCTGGAGGTGCAGCGCTGACAGTGCGGTTCTTGAGACAACGTGTGCACTGTCTTATGTCTCCAATTATTCAGGAAAAAAAAATTATTAACCCCTTTAATAGCAAGGTGGAAATTTTGAAACTGTTTATTCCATGCCATAGGACCCGTGTTGTCATTTAGCTTTCACTATGCCGAAAACAAAGCCAAAGGCTCCTCTACACGTTCCCCCTCTGCTTTATTGTGTTTGAGATGGAAAGGTAATTGTGCTTGGCAAGGGCGACTGGATTACAGCTGCCTTTGACATCCAGGATTTTTTTAGTGCCATCATGGTGGCTAAACATGCGCCAAACACTGTGACACAATGGGGAAAATGGGATTTGATTTCTTTGAAATTAGAAAAAAAAAAAAATGCGGTCCTTTCCCTTTGAGGACAATTGCCAGAAAACCAAATCCTTTCTGTTTTATTTTCAAGACTTGGAAGGTTTTGACTCTGTGATACCAATTGCTGAGAAGCTTAATCATCCAACTACAACCAGACCAAAAGCTACTGGCAGGCGACCACCCTCCCAGTCTCTCACATCTGTAAGTTAATTTTCCTTTTCTTTTAAAAATACTTTTTTCTGATTTCCCCCCCCTCCCCTTTGTGTACCCTGGTATTTTTACTACGTTTGCAGAGCCATTCCTTCACACGTACGGTGAGGCAGAGAGATGCAGCTCAGGAAAATTAGTGTCGAAAGACTGCCAGTGTTTTGAATACTGATGTTTAAAACATTCCTTCCCTTGTAAGATTTGTACCCCCTTATTTCGGTGTTGCCAAGTATTCCTTGCCAGCCATGACTGAGGCCAGAAGAATCCTTTATAAAAATATTTGGAATAAACTAGTTTGTGCTAAGTATTAAGGATTTTGAAAGTGTTTCCCAAAAGAAGCGTTTCTCTTGGTTTCTCTAGGACATTTACCAGATTTTGAGGACAAACAGACCATTTCAGCCTTCAACAGCTCTCCTTGAGCCATCAGGTGTTTCTTCTTATTAAGCTCACAATTGTAAATATAAGGGTGATTTAAATTTCACTCTCTAATACATATCTTTAGACAAGTTGGTCTCATAAACCATACTTTGGGAACCAGTGCTTACTGTGGAAACCACAGTGTCTTTTTCTTTGGGGTTTGGAGTTTTTTTCATTTCCATGCTTTTTTGCATTCTGGCATATCAGAGTGAGAGCAACTACTGATGGTTACCCGTGTTCATGTTGCTGAAGAAAAACAAAGTGGAGGGAATCAAAAAGAATTATTATGAAACTAGTAGAACACAAAAAAGAAAGCTTTCAAAATTGACTATGTACATAAATATAGAAACATAAAAGACAAGTAAAAAGGTTTTTCTTCCCCTGTCAAATCTATGGGGAAAGGAACAAGGGGTGGAAAGACCCTTCCCTGTTTGCCCCTTTACAAAGAGGCTGTGCGCAAGGCAGCCCTGCAGTGCCAGCAGCGTGCACGGGCAGCGGCACAGGTCCTCTGAAGAGCAGCAAAGCGAGACCTGCGCTGAGCAAAGCCGTGGCAGAGCTGGCATCCCGCAGCACGGCGCTCAGCATCCAGCTAAGGTACAGCTCTTCTTTGCGGACAGGAGGGTGCTTTCATCTTACAATATAATGCAGTGCAAAGATGTAAATTAATGTTGAATCCAGCTCTTAAGTGTATCTCATTTCATGAATGCTTTGAAAGCATTCAAGCCTTAAAAATCCGGTGTAAAAAAGGGGGTGGGGGGGGAGGGGGAGTCCTGATTTTAAGTATTATTACTCTGAAAAGGATATAAAAATAAAAAGTCATCACATAAATGGTTTTCGTCTTCCTTTGTTAAATTCTTGTGCAATTAAAATACCTGCATATCTGCTTTTTTTTCCCCTCTCTTGGCGTGTATGTGTTTGTCTCCATAGTCATCCCTTTCAAGCCCTGATTTCTTTGACTCACCAAGTCCTGAAGAAGAGAAGGAGGAACATGTTTCCGTTACTCACAAAACTATTGAAGTGTCGAGGAAATCAAGAACTGTTACAATATCACAAGTAAGTTAATTGGAATGCCACAGTTTAACCTTATATTTATTGTTAGAATTTGATTCAACAGTCACCTGGTAATTTGTCCTTTACAGAAGCTTAAAATGGTAAAGGTTACAAAGGATTGGTCTGTATTTGAAATGCAAGTCTAAAGTGAATTGCACAGTTAAAATGTCTCCATAACCATATTGTGAAAAAAATCCTTCTAGTGTAAATACATTTCACAGAATCAGAGAAGCTAGGGGAATAAATTTTAGAAACAAAGGTCCCTTTTTTAGCAGCTGGAAAGTGAGTTTACATTAGAAGAGTCTGTAAGCGGAGAAAATACAACTCTTTGAGCTACTCTAATAGTATATGAATTTCCGTTTGCAAGTATAATCACTTTTTATACAGGTATAATTGTATTCATTTTATAGGCTTGTGCCATTCTTACTGTATATTGATAGAAAACTATAGGATAGTTGAATGTTACAGGAGTATGTAGATCAGGCTTTAGAGGTTGGAGCTATTTTTTAGTGCATAAGGATACCATTAATAATACAAAGATTACATTCTAATAGTGTAACAAAAGTATTTGAAAGATGAAGTCACGCACTTCTGCGATCAAGTTATAAGCATAATGTTTTGCTATAGAGCTCCCTCTTCTGGGAGCACCTGCGTTAAGGAATATTCGGGCCAACATTTGTAAATTATGTGCTGGTATGCCAAGGATGTACATGTTGTTCCTGTAAAATAAGGTGAGTGCTCTATCAGAAAGTAGCTGCTTGAGGCTTTAATGTTGATAGCCACTTAAGCTCTGGAGTAAGGTGTTCAGTGTGGATTACTCCCGTTGAGACTTGCTCCAGGTTTGAACTCAGCTCGACATCTGTTTTCAGTCCAAAGGAAACTTGCATCTACTGATGTAAGGATTATTATCCATGAAAGATCTGTGTCTAGGTACACATTACTCACACATGCACACACATATATATAAGATGTTAAAAGAATATTATTAAGGTCATGAAGTCAAGCATTCGATCCACTGGTGTGATTCAACGTGTGATTATAACACCGTTTTACTTCTACGGTCCCACCGTTTTTTCTGCAGAACGCGTTTTTTATGGAGCGCTTGCCCAGGACGGGTTCTGCGCTCAGTCAGACTCCTGTGGTGGGGAAGAGTGGTTTTTGCAGAACTTGGTGGATCCTGCGCTTCCCTCCCCATCACACTTTCTCCTAATTTTCAGCCGGGCCACTAACTTTGTTACTTTGTTACCACTAGTTACTTTGAACAGCTAATGCCACCGCCCCAGTCCCCAAGTCCTCCCTTAGAATGCTTCCTGCTGTTTCCACACCATTTTTTCTCAGTATCTTATCCTATTTGCCATTCAACTTCAGTATCTCTTTTCCAAAGATAGAGTTGGAGGGTTGCCTAGTGCTTTTTCTTACTCTTGGCCAAATCGGATTTTCAGATACTCCTAGTAGCTGTCGTATAATGCACACGTTAGCGTTGCCAAATAACAATATGATAAATAATTAAGAGTTACCTTACTTGCCATTGTGATAACTGTACTGTAGGTACACTGTTCTGTGTATGCAGTGAAGTAGCTGGTCCTGTATGGTAGGTGGCCTTCAGCTTTTCTATACCTTGTCTAATAAGCAGAGCACTGGATTGCAGTTCAAGAAGCGTGGGATCCTTCCGAGCCAGCCACATGGCTCCAGCGTAACTAGGTTAATGCTGCGTTTTTCTGTTTAGTTCCTGGAGGAATAAGGAGCCATTGTTAGCTATGGGGATTCGCAGAAACTTAAGTGAACAGAGGACAGTACAGTACATTTATTTCTTATTAATATATTATCATTTTGAAACCATGGGATTTCATTTTTCTTTTTATATCATACCAACAAGCAAACTGAAGGAATATTTTGCTATTTTTCTAACGCTAAGAGCAACATGTAACACATTTTTAAATTTTGAAAAAATGTCGGGTGTTGAAGATTCCTTCAATGGTTAGTTGACGATGGTAAATTTAATCTGCAAAAAATTACAACTTGGATTCTTGGCCATGCAGTTTTGTACTCTGCAGGAGACATCCATGGATGTAGGTACGTTCTCGCAAACTTCTGAGTGAAAGAAACACGGAGCATCATTCTCTAGTTCATTTCACTGCTGCGTCTGAGATATTGGAAACACTTGTTGCTGACTGGTTGTAGCGACTGAGGAAAGTCCTACTGAAGCTGCCTGAACTTCTGCATCCCAGCTAGACCCCCTCTGATGTACATGTACAAAGATAATGACTAATTGTAATATTGATCATGCTTTGGCCAAAACTGTCCATGTTTGACTGTGGACTTTCAACATTACTGAAGAGCAGCAAAATACTTAATATTTGTTAGAAGTCTGATTTTCATAAAGATTTCTCCAGACATTAAATGTTACTCTTTTTGTTGCAGGTGTCTGATAATAAAACTTCCTTGCCTCCAAAACCAGGAGGTTTGGCTAGTGGAAGTAATGTGCAACCATCACTATCCCCTTCACCGTCGCCTGGATTTCACTCAATTGCTATGGGAACAACAGGCCACAGGTCAAATTCCCCATCCCTGTTCGGTACTGAAGGAAAGCCAAAGACTGAGCACTTGAGCCAAGGTCAGACTGCCCTGGAGGAGCTGAGAACGCAAATTAAGGAGCTAAGAACCATCATTGAAACCATGAAAGACCAGCAAAAGTAAGTACTGCAAATCACAACTGCAGGTGGGATGCATCTGTTCATGCGTGGTGGTGGCAGTTTCTTCCTGAGCTCGCCTTCATGTATGTTACTCTGCACAGTTTGTGAGTGATTTTCATCTGACAGAACACATTCAGGGGTGAGAAGCTCAGGAAGAAAGACTGGCACTATCCATCTGTAACAAACAGCTTTTTGTCCTGTGTTATGATGTAAGCAGATGTTTATGGGGTGTTGAAAAAGTTAAGTTACAAGCTATACGCAGTGAATAAGGTTCTTACGGTGTTTAATTTGCCAATAACTATTTGGGAATTCATCTGCATCAATCTTAATGGTGCATTTGTTCTAGTTGTAGTAAAAGTTACTACAAGTTCCTAAAATTATTACATCAATTTGTTGTTTGACTGTTAGCACATTTTCCCAGGAAGCTTGTATTACAAAAGAAGTAATTGAATTGTGATTAGGACATTTGAAGGCCTTTGTGTTTATGAATCTTAGTATTTTAGTGTTGGGCATCTCTCTTTTCTTTAAGCTGCTCATTTCTTAGGAGAAATTGGGAGTGGCCCGTAGCTTTTTCTATTCCTGAGAATATTTAATGTTTTGGAAGGTAAACCTTCACTTACCCTGTCAGTTGTGGGTAGCCCAGGCAGGAACAGAAAAGGGAAAGCAGCGTGCAGAGACTGTGGCAGAAGAGAGGTGTGTGGGGAGTTTGGGAGAAGATGGGGAGGGCATGGTTCTAGCCAGTGAACCCCACGGCTTCGCTTCCCAGGCTGGCTGGCCCCTTCTCCTCTGGTCTTCCCGGCCCTTCTTGCAAGGGCTGTTTCCACCTACTGGTTTCTGTCTCAACGTGAGGTCACTTAGTGGGAACATGAGAAGGTGTCTCCTCCTTAAAGCTCTGTTCTCCTTCCTGACAAAGACGGATGACAACGAATCCATATTTGGGATCGTTAAGTCTTATAAATGAAGTTGAAGGTTACATTATATTGCTGGCGAAAACAGCTTTTAAGTGGCTTAAGTATGTGATAGCATGGGCAGGATTTGTGTACCAGTTCCTATTACCCACCAACAGCCAATCCATCTCATTTCATATGGAAAAAAGGCAACTGGGTGCTGATACAGAGTTGATACGGCTAGCCTAGAGCAAAGCCTGTGGATGCGAGGCTGTTCGGAGGAAATGTATTATTCATTAGCCATATGGAGTGGGGGGAGTGCTGTGCTTTTATAGAGTCTCACTTCTCTGCAATATAGCATATAGTATACAAGAGTATACTGACTTCAATTAGTTGTTCAG